TATATATATATATTTTATATATATATATATATATATATATATATATATATATTTGTCAACAGAGAGAGAGGGAAAGGAGAGAAAAATTTTATGGTGTTTTAGGTATTTACTTGAATTTATGTAATATGACAAATTAGGTTTTTTAAATAATTAGAATTCTATATCCAATAATTTTTTGTGAGATTATATAGCAATATACTTTAAACTACCTGGAAACCAACATTAACCATTTTAGCTTTCCTTTATCTATTTTTCTACTACAATTTTATACATATAGAAAATGTAAGAGATTTGCTAAGTGTTCTCCTTACTGCATTGACCTGTGGCTATCTATATTCGTTTTCTTTCCCCTCCTGCACAAATTTCACATTAATTCTTTCCATATTTTATGGATTTGACTGTATTCTTACAGGAAAATCATACTTAATTTTCTGATATCCATCAATCCAACAATATGAAACAAAAATATTTAAAATGTGTTAATATAGTTATCAATATTAGCACAGGGAACTTTTCTATAGAAAATATAAGCTATCTAACATACAGTAACAAGAAGATACTTTACCATTTTATTCTGTTCTCATCTGAACTATCTTGGATTACTGGGTACTTTCTTTTTTAAATAGTGATAGTGCTTTGAGTGTTTGAGACAAACACAATTATTGGTAACTTGGTCTAGTGGATTGAATTAGTCCCTCCAAAACTCCCTGAAGCTTAAATTGTGTCCCCCAAGTTTTATGTATTAGAAACATAGCCCCACTGTGACTCTTAACAGGGTGAGACATCCTACTATGGTAATTGAATGGTGGAGCCTTCAAGAGGTGATTAGGTTGAAGGACCATGCAGTGTTGAATGGATTAAAAATGGTGGTCAGGGGGCCGAGCCCGTGGCTCACTCGGGAGAGTGTGGCGCTGGGAGCACCGAGGCCACAGGTTCGGATCCTGTATAGGGATGGCCAGTGCGCTCACTGGCTGAGCGTGGTGCAGGCAACACCAAGCCAAGGGTTACGATCCCCTTACCGGTCCCAAAAAAAAAAAAAAAAAAAAAAAAAACTGGTGGTCAGGGGTGTGGCTTTGAGGGCTTTAAAAGAAGAGGAGAGCCTGTCTCTCTGTCTTTCTGTTCTCTCTGTTTCCACCATCTTGCAATGGGAGACCCCTGGGTCACTGTTGTCAC